TGGGTGCGACTTCGGTCTATACCAATGCTATTTCTTAGGGCCGGTTTCTGTTCGGATAAATTTAAGATTGTTTTTATGAATATTTTGACCTGGAATTGTAGAGGGGCTGGGAAAAGGAGTTTTCCGCCTCTAATTCGGGATCTTTCTCATAGATATAGTATTAAAGTTATGGCTTTGTTAGAAACTAGATTGAGTGGTGTTATGGCGGATAGAGCTATTCAGCGTCTTGGTTTTTCTGGTCACTTTCATCGTGATGCTGTTGGTTTTTCTGGCGGTATTTGGGTGCTTTTGAACACTGATGAAGTTTCAGTGGATGTTCTTTTTTCTCATCACCAACTTGTCCATACTAAAATTTGTTGGGTAAAAGAAAATAGAGAGGAGTTCATGACTTTTATTTATGCAAGTCCGCGAAGACAGGAACGTATTCAGCTGTGGGAAATTCTGTCTTCACTGTTTGATCAGTCCATGAGGAATGCAGCTTGGGGGATAGCAGGTGATTTTAACACTTATTTGTATGAGTATGAGAAGCTAGGTGGTAATGGGCATAACTGGAATAGCATGAGGGAATTTCGTGATTGTTTAGATGAATGTAGCTTGTCTGACATTGGCAATCAAGGTCCTATTTTCACTTGGCAAAGAAGAAATCTTCAGGAACGTCTTGATAGGGTTTGCGCTAATGATAATTGGAACTTGGTTTTCCCTAACCGTGTGGCTTTCAACTTGCCTTTCTTTGGCTCAGATCATCGACCAGTGTTATTATGGGAAGGTCAACCTGCTATTTATCCGAAAGGGGAGCGTCCTTTCCGTTTTCTAGCGTCCTGGTTAACAGAGAGCACTTTTCATGAGGTGGTTAATGGATGTTGGTCAAACAATGTAAACTGGATGCATGCTATGGAGACATTTCAGATTAATGCTTCGGAATGGCATAGAAATGTTTATAGGATTGTTCTGAAAAGAAAGAATGATTTGCATGCAAGGATTAGAGGTATTGATAGATGTCTTAGTTATCAGTACAGTCATAGCCTTGAGATGTTGCAAAAGGATCTATGGAGGGGACTAGACAAGATTTATCTTCAAGAGGAAATTACTTGGTTTCAAAGATCAAAATTGAATTGGTTTGCTCTTGGAGATAGGAAATCGCGTTTCTTTCATTCTGTGACGGTTGCCAGACGTAGGAGGAATCACATAGATACGTTGAAAAACTCAGAGGGATTTTGGATTGGTGATCAACAGGTTTTAATGGAAATGGCTGTTTCTTTCTTTGAAAATCTGTACACAAAAGATCCATTACCTAAACCGGCTTTTCCAGTTCGTGGCTTTTTTCCAGTTATTGAAGCGCATGCTTTAGACACGATGAGTATTATGCCAAACAGTAAGGAGATCAGAGATGTAGTCTTCTCTTTTGGTCCATACAAGTCGCCTGGGAAGGATGGGCTTAATGCTCTTTTCTTTCAATCTCAGTGGGATAAGGTGGGTGAGTCAGTTATCTCTTTTGTGAAAGGTGTGTTCCTTCGTCCGGATAATATCAAAGAGGTTAACCAAACTTTGATTTGTCTGATTCCTAAGATTGATGTGCCTGAATTACTTAAAGATTTCAGACCTATTAGCCTTTGTAATGTTATTTACAAGACTGTAACTAAGATTGTGGCTAATAGGCTAAAATTTCATATGGCTCACTTGGTTATGCCTAATCAATGTGGTTTTATTAAGGGTAGACAAGGAGCGGATAATATCATTGTGGCTCAGGAAATCATCCATTCCATGAATAAAAAGAGAGGAGGTAAGGGTTGGATGATTGTCAAAGTTGATTTAGAAAAGGCTTATGACGATTTCTTGGGAGTTTCTGAAAGACACGCTTGTGGATGTTGGTTTGCCTGAGAATATTATTTCTCTGATCATGTGTTGTGTCTCGTCATGTACAATGAATTTGTTATGGAATGGATCAACTACGACAGAATTTTCTCCTAATCAAGGTCTTCGTCAGGGAGATCCTTTGTCTCCTTATCTTTTCATCCTTTGCATGGAAAGACTTGCTCATTTGATTAATGTAGCAGTTCAAGAGGACGTTTGGAAGCCTATCAGATTGAATAGAAGGGGACCACTGCTTTCCCATCTATTTTTTGCAGATGATCTTCTGCTCTTTACAGAAGCCACAGAAGGGCAAGCTGTTATTATTAATAAGATTCTTGATTGTTTTTGCAGGTGCTCTGGTGAGAAGGTTAGCAAGGAAAAAACAAAAGTCTTCTTATCCAGAAACGTTAATCATAGCCGAGTGCAGAATCTAAGCCAGTTGATGGGCTACTCTCATACAAATGACTTGGGTAAATACTTGGGTATTCCTCTTCGTCATAGCCGTGTTACAAAGAGTACGTTTGGCTATATCTTAAATCGGATGCAAGCTCGTTTAAATGCCTGGAATCAACGTACTCTTTCATTGGCAGGAAGATCAACTTTGGCTAGGTCAGTTCTTACTGCAATTCCTCAATATCCTATGCAAACTTGTATTATTCCTAGTGGTACGTGTGATCGTATTGAGAGTGTAACTAGGAATTTCATTTGGGGATTAACTTCTGAACGAAGGAAAGCTCACCTGGTTTCTGGGGAGACAGTTTGTTTGCCGAAGAATGTAGGGGGGCTTGGTTTTCGTAAAATTAAAGAGAATAATATGGCTTTTATCATGAAGCTAGGTCACCAAATCATGACTGATCGTAATTCGTTATGGGTTCGGGTCCTTCGTAGCAAGTATAAGGTGGAGGAAAGGCTCATTCCAAGTATCTCGGCTTCCGCAAATGACTCTGGTTTATGGAAGGCTATTGTTAAGTATTGGCCTCAAACTCTAGAGAATTCTCGTATCATTTTAGGGGATGGGGTTCATACGTCTTTTTGGATGGATTCGTGGGTGCCAGGATGTCCTCAACTTGTTTCTCTGGCCGTTCAACCTATTCCTCCTATTATGACTCATTGGTCTACGTCTCAATTTGTAACTTGTTATGGTAATTGGGACTGGCCTTTATTTCAGCACCTTATTCCTACTTCAGTATTAGACAAGATTCGTAGTGTGCTTCCTCCTACAGTGGATCCTTCTCCGGACCGTGTTATTTGGGCAGGTAGCCAAGATGGGGTTTTTTCAGTGAAATCAGCTTATAACTATCTCATGGGTACCTCGCATTATCATCAGGATAGGATTTGGAAGGTAATTTGGGCTTGGCCTGGTCCTGAACGTATTAAACAATTCTTATGGCTTCTCTACAGAGGTTTTCTTTTAACTAATGTTCATAAAGTGCATCGTCACATGGCTACAGATGCAGGGTGTCTGAGATGTCATTATAATCTTGAGGATAGTCTACATGCCATTAGAGATTGTCCTAGTGCCAGGGAATTATGGGAGCATTGGGTTCCTTCTGATAACCGTAGTGACTTTTTCTCCATGGATCTTCACCTATGGATTCAGACAAATCTAGGATTAAAAGGTCCGTTTCAAACTGATCGAACTTGGCCTTTGTATTTTGGGGTGATAGCTTGGTGTTTGTGGGGGGAAAGAAATAAGGCGATCTTTGATCAAACTATCACCTCGAAGTATGGTCTCATTAGGCGCATTACCTATACTTGTGGTAATATTCAATTGGCTAATGAAACCCTTACTAAGATTGGTCATCAGGAGCTTAGAAGAGAGGAACGTCTTATTCACTGGAATTTTCCCTCTGAGGGTTATGTTAAACTTAATGTGGATGGTTCCAGCATGGACAATGGGCAAAGGACTGCATGTGGTGGAGTCATAAGGGATGCTGCTGGGAACTGGTTAACTGGTTTTACAAAATTCCTTGGGAGTGGTACTTCTACTTCAGTGGAAATTTGGGGGTTCTTGACAGGTATGGATCTGGCTTGGCATAAGGGATTTAGGAGAGTCTTTGTGGAGGGTGACTCCAAGGTGGCTTTGGAATTTATAAGAAAAGGGTGTGACGTAAGTCATTCTCTTTCTGCTTTAATCATCCGAACTCGTAGCATGCTTCAAAGAGACTGGATTATTCAGCTTAGTCATACTTATAGAGAAGGCAATTTTGTTGCTGATTGGCTTGCTACTCATGCACCTCATCAGGATGGACAACTGATTGTGCTGGATGTCCCTCCAACGGCTTGTTTGGAATTGCTTCGTAATGACTTGAGGGGAGTTAGTCTCCCAAGATTGTGCCCAGTATAGGACTTTTTTTGATGTTGCTTTAGTTTTCATTGTATTTCCAAAAAAAAAAAAGAGTATAAATTATACCGATGTAAAATGATTCTAATATATATATAGAGAGAGAAACGCTTATCATGCTTAAGGTGTAATATTTCGATTGGCGCGGATTTTTTTTTTTTTTTTTTAATAAATGTGAGGCTAACCTGAGTCACAACATAAGAAATTAATTCTCTTGAAGAAAATCAAAGCGAGAATACAAGGATGGATATTTTGTTTCTTAAGTTTGTGTGATTGAAACAAGGAGGGATACATTGGTAAAGGGTAAAGGTTTTCTTAGTTGAAGTTAGTTGGTTGATAGTTTAGGCCTTAGGGTGGTGTGATGAGCGTGAGAGGGACGTTTCCATCTTTTTCAGAATTGCACATAAACAGCTCTTCTCTCTTCTCTTCTCTGTGCTGCATTCATTCATTCATTCATTCATTAGTTGTCACAGGTGAACTCGCTCCCCTCAAGGTACGCCATGTTGTTCGGAGAAGTTCGTTTCTTAATTTGTCTCATTTATTACAAACATACCTTTTTCTTTTCTTGGTTTTTTGTTTTTTAATTTGCTAGGGAGATTTTATTTTAACTTTTCCGCAAATATATATTTATGTTTCTTTCATGAATTGAGGACAGTGATGGATTTTGGCTTTCGAATGAATGGTGGACTAGCAACTACTGAAAAGTTATGGATGGGTCTCAACTTTCCAGTCATTTTAATTAGAAACAGATAATTGTTCAAGTTCTTGGTACCTAAAGACATTATATGTCTTGTTTCAAAAAATAAAATAAAATGTTGTTGTGGGCTGATTGCTTGTTGAAAGTCAGAATAAAATTGCATTTTTATGGCTTGATGCTCTAAACAGTCAAGTAAAAAAGAATTAAAAATGCTTATTTTAAGGGCTTTGAACTCTTCTATGGATCCTTCCCCTACCCGTTGTCCCTTTTTTTCTTGAGAATTCTTGTGAGAGTAAGAAGCTAGGAACTTTCTAGGTGGTGCGAACTTGGGATTATTCTTTGGTTGTGTTTAAATTTTCCAGTCACGGTCTTGACTTGAGATACTTTTCACAGAAGAAATGCATATTTTTTTATTTTGCTTAGGAAATTATATAGGTTTGGAAAATTGAAAACTATTCAACTTCGTGTTTTGGAATCACTTACTAAGGAAGTGCAGTTTCTTAAAGTATCAATTACTGAGAGTTTCATCATAGACATGGTTGCATCAGATTTAAATGCAACATAAACGAAGTGATGTTGCTCTCTGCTTTCACTTTTAGCTCATCAACCATAAACTTTTATTATGCTTGGAGAATTTTTTTTCTACCCATAGGATCAATGTTATTTTGCACATACAATAACTCCTATAGCCCGGTTACTAAGTCTTGTTTCTTTTTGCCTTGCATTATATTCACACAGAGGACAACCTACTGAATTTCTGAAATTCCACACTTCCAAACTTTGTTAATAGTCATCCTTAATTCTGCACCTGCATATAATTAGAGGACGTGTTCAATATCTTCTTCAGTGTCCTTTTATGTCTTTTTGGGTTATTTGATGTCATCTCTGTTCTCGTATAGTGTGAATGTTAAATGCCTAGAATTCCTCATCTCATTCTTTTTGATAAATTATTATTTGCTTGCGCCGTGTGTGACGTTCTTGTATAACTTGAGTACGCAGAGTCGGATATTCACTTTGAATTTTGAATCATACATTCTCAGCTTGATGTTTGTGTTCTATTTTTTGTTTTTCTGTTGTAGCCTTCTGGCAACTCAATGATGACACAAGAATCATCAGAGGTGTTGGAAAAACATGCAAACTCAGGGTCTCATGTGAGGGGGGATAGTGAATATGTTAGACTGGTCATATCTGATGAACCAAGGGCTGTTGAAGATGAAATCTTGCAGCCTCGAGCAGAATCAAGAATGAAATCTTTCTGCTGGTGGATGAAAGCCTTTTTATGGTGCTTTGTCAGTGTTATACTTGCTCTTGTTCTTGTGAAATGGGGAGTGCCATTTTTTTTTGAGAAGGTATTTCCTCTTTACAAATTGCAATTATTCTGATACTACTTTTGCTTTCATTAAATTGTCCTCACTGGTTCGTCTTTGCAATTCCTGTTCAGAAATTAACTGGTATTGTAGTTTTTTGGCTGACCTGCATTTGTTGATATTGACAAAATTACGCATTCTACTGTCAGTGTTCAAATATTTTAAACTGAAATATGTTATTATGGCAACGACATATGAAGTTTGGTATTTTCCTTGGCATCAGATTTTTAAGTCTTTGGTTATTGCTGCTAGTTCCATGCTCTTCCCTGCTAGTTCAATGCAGCAATATATAACAATCCTGTTTTCCCTACCCACTTTTTTTTTTCTTTCATTTTTGTTTCCCGAATTTGCAGATGTTTTTAAGTTGGGTATGTATTATATCATGAAATGCTTTATGGTAATAAACTTTAAGGGCTTGGGGAATTGCATACATATTGATATTTTTGGTACTCCTGTGAATAAGCTTTGAGTCTGTATTCACATACATTCCATATGGATGCTATTAACGTTTAATTAAATTCATATTTTGAAGCTTTATCTCTTGAACTTTTTTTATTGCAGGTTCTTTACCCAATCATGGAGTGGGAAGCCACTGCATTTGGCCGTCCAGTTCTTGTCCTTGTACTTGTTGCTTCTCTGGCTTTATTCCCGGTATTCTTAATACCTTCTGGCCCCTCCATGTGGTTGGCTGGGATGATTTTTGGTTATGGCCTTGGTTTCGTTATAATAATGGTTGGAACAACCATTGGGATGATCCTTCCTTACCTAATTGGACTACTTTTCCGTGACCGCATTCACGTAAGCCATTTTGTTTCATATACGATCACAAATCCTCTCAAATTTTATGTTGTGTATATATATATATTTGAAGTAGATTTTTCTTATTGTTTGTGATTTTTGTTTCTATATTCTGCAGCAATGGTTAAAGAGATGGCCCCAGAATGCCGCAATGATCAGGCTTGCTGGGGAAGGGAACTGGTTCCATCAATTTCAAGTTGTTGCTTTGTTTAGGGTTTCACCTTTTCCCTATACTATATTCAATTATGCTGTGGTAGTGACAAATATGAGGTTTTGGCCCTACCTATGTGGATCAGTGACTGGAATGGTACCAGAAGCTTTCATCTATATCTACGGGTTTGTCTTTTTATTTTTGGCTCTTTTGATGGCTTAATGAGTTCCCTACCCTACCTTCTATATGAATATGAGAAACAAATGACTTTTCAACGGATAGAGATGTGACTGAACTTAGAACTTGTTTTCTTTATTATTCTTTTTAATAAAACATCTTTCATTTTCTCAGTGGTCGGTTAATAAAGACATTGGCGGACGCACAGTACGGGAAGCATCACTTGACTACTGTGGAAATCATATACAACATTATTTCTTTTGTTATTGCAATTGTTACCACTATTGCCTTCACAGTTTATGCAAAAAGGACTCTAAATGAACTCGACATGGAAGAGTTGAATGAGGAAGTTGCCTGTGTTTCTGAGAAGGGTAGTTTTGAGATGGATAAGCTTCCTCTTGAAAGGCCTAAGCAGCTTAGTTACTCATCTAATTTTTTATGATAGTGTATGTTAATGTATTTACAAGTTGTTTTAGGATTACATTTACAATACTTTTTCATTTGTCTGTTGTCCTCATACGCCCTATGATGATAACTGTAACTAGGATGTGGGATAGAAGCAAAAAGTCAAAAACGGTGACACCGTTTCTCTGATTTTGTTTTTGTTTTTTTTTAATTTTTTTGGTAAGTAGTTTCGCTTATTTGTATTTGCTCTAAAAAATTTCATGTATTTTTACTAGGCGTAATCTACACGGCCTGCTGATTTTTTCCCCATATTTTTCAATTATGCCACACAAATTAGTGCAGTCATTTGAATTGTAATATAATATAATTAATAATAATTTGATAATAAGTTTAAAAATGTAAAATATTAAATCAAAAAATGTATCTCCTAAAACAAGCAAAAACCCTTGAGTCCCATAAACTTGGAAAGAAAAAAGAAGCTTAGAGTTGTACAAGGTCCCAAATATTTGGGAGATGCTGATGAATGCAGCGTACCTTTCTAAGCCTATGAAGGGAAGCTGGACACTGGTGAAAACAATGGTGGAGTAAAAGACAGAAACAATCCACGTTGGGTTGTATTCTAGAGAACCGTTCAGGTCCTCTGCCATTTGGCCCATGTCATGGATGGTGTCACTTAAAGAAACGATATTTATTCTGCGGATTTAGAATACAAGCGTTATGTTAACCAGCTCTGAAGTTTGACTATCATGTACCAGAAGGAAAGGAATGGTTACCAGAGCAAAAAGTTATGGGGAGCTAAATGAAGTTGAAATAAAAAGTGGAATCCGATTCAAAGTGATCGACAGTTCAAAAGTAACGTGCAGAGTTCGCTAATAAAAAAAGAGAGTAAAACAATTGTCTCAATCTTATGAACAAGGTACACTATTTCCAGCATGTACACAGCATTGATATCGCGAGAGAACAAAATCAAAAGTAGTATGGAGTGGCGTTGCATCTGATTCAACGTACAAAATACACATCCTCGTCTCCTTTTTATAGTGCTCATGGCATATTCATCAAAAAGCTAGTGTTATTTCGAGGGATGGTTTTTAGCTGCTGAGACCATGCTTGTGCATAAATAGATCCACTGGCACAACATTTAGAACAACATAATGACTATCTTACAAATAAAATAAATAGAGACCCCAAGTTATAAAGGGATAAAGAGTTTGAGCAAGGTAGCTGTAAAACATTAGATGAAACTGTCAAACATAGATGCTGTTCATTTAACGAATTCAAGATTAAATACAAATATACTATGTATATCACAAAAAAAACAAAAACTTTTAGACAGACAGTCTCAAGTACCACTATCAATTCTCAGTACTAATCTTGAATCAAAGATTGTTCCATTACTTCCATTTGTTCATGTCCACCCTTGGCTTTGAAGTACCCCGATCTTCAAAATTATCAATACACTCAAGTCACTTGAGGTACTTGGTGGAAAGGGATAACGAATGGCATAACACCTTATGGTTTCCATGGAGCTGGAGGTGGTGGTGCTGTAGGAAACATTGGGGGGACAGCAGAGAAAATGGTATTTTTGTCAATCCCTGTGCTTTTATCACCTGACAATGCCACAAGTGCTGCTACTAAACCTGCATTTCCAGCAATAGTTGGCTCTGTGTAGTTGTAGTTAGTTCGGACATCATGGAAACCATCATGCTTGTCAGGACCAGCAACCATAGCTCCAACAATTGTATTAGGATTTGGCTTCGGTGTGTCCCTCCATTTCCATCCTCCTACACAATTGTACTTAATCTTGTTCTTTGGTATAGATGCACCCCTATGGTGAACGTGTTTTGGATAATGATTACCAAAACCTACAACATAGCTCATTTTCCTCGGGTTCTTCCCAAGGATGTAATCCATCTGCAAAATCACCCGGAAAAGGGAAAAATAAATAAATTAGCCCAGACATTTCATATTGATTTGAATTATGCAACTTAAAGTAGCAGAAATATCACACACCTGGGTCTTGGCAAAGTCTCGAAGAACATTAGTGGAATAGAAATTGGGTCCACAATACCATCCAGGTGTATCAGCAGCATCGAGATAATCACTGTATAGGGCAGCCAGAAAGGCTGCATTGACAACATATTGGAGAGGCTGAGGCCTACCATGGTTTAATTGAATCAAGCCCCCTGGTTGCAAAAAATACAGATATTCTTATTAGAATAATAATTGGACAATCATGAAATATGGTGCGCAGAAGAAAGGTTTGAAGTGGGAGAATTTTTTACCCTTCGTTCTATTAAAGCTTGTGAAAATTGGCAGGTAGGAGCACATGATTATGCCGGTCTGATTGTGAAATGTGCTTAAAATTTCTTCATATGGATAACCAGGACTCAGGAACAACCTCAAACGACTCAGAAGAACCTAAATACAAGATGAAAAGATTACATTACTAACTTCTCTTCGTATGTAACGTATGACTTCCTTCTAAATTCAAAAGTTATAAACTCAGAAGGAAGTCAAGCAAATCAGTCAAATGTATTTGGTCAACATGGCTATGACCTCTAGCGTGATCAAATTAAAATTAAGATCTTAAAAGAAAGGGAACATTCTAGGGTGAGAAAAAATTTAACACAAATAACGAGGGAGGCTCAAGCAGTTGCGTGCAGAGTTGAACTTGTCAAAAAGCATTGTTAGTACACTATCTATCCCCTAAAACAAGTTGTCCATAATTTGGGGAAAAAACATGATAGGAGTTTCTGGCAAAAATATTTGTAGTTTAGGAACAAATAACAGAATAATTGGTCAACAATGTTCAGAAAACGGTTAATGAGTAAATCATGTATCCACTTAATTAACCATCTGTATGCTTAATCATACTTTTGAAGTTTTTTTTTTTTTTAACCAGGAATTCCTAAATTGTAATTCTTAACATAAACCTTCAGTCCAAACACAGTGAGTACAACTTTTACGAAGGTGTCTTGTGCCAAAAATTGAAGGGTAAGTATGAACAACAAAAGCAGCAAGAGTAATCAGCTAACAAAAAGATCTTCAAATACTTACTAAAAATAAAAGAAAGAGAGTTAAGGTCACAAGAGAAAAAAGGCAGTATTAAAAAAAAGAAAAAAAAGAATAAGGACCTGAGCACCAGCAAGCTTGTTATCCCAGCTGAGCACACCATAGTCAGGGCCTCCCCAGAAGGCACCAGCATGCTTGGCGATGCCAGGAGTAGTGGCAAGCTTAAGGTAGGATGAATTTCCAGTGGCATAATACATCCAAGCCCCACCCCAAACGAACTCATCCCAATAGCTAGTTGAATTGTAGAATTTAGCAGCATCGGAACCAGTGGCACTGTACCTGCCTCTCTGATTCCTGGAGAACTTAAAGAGCGTGGTAGCACCATGAACAAGTTTCTGCGAATAGGCTCTGTTGTCTTTGAAGACAATGGAAGCGGCAGCCAAAGCAGCAGCCATTTCAGCAGCAAGATCGGAGCAACCGTGACATTCACTAACGGTGCGTTGATAATCGATATCCTCAGGACGCATCCAGCAGTAATGGTCATTGTGGGTCGTGCTCCCTCCAGAAGTATCACCAGATCCAACCTGCGCAGCAAGCGTGTTAATCGTATCAGCAGAATTGTTGAATGTCTTGAGAAGATAATCCGTTCCCCATTTGATAATGTCCTTGACATGGGCAAGCTCCCCTGCAGCTTCATACTTCGCACTGTATTCGATGACACTCCAACTCAACATGGTCATGGCAAATGAAGCGGGGAAGTTGAACTTGATTGCATCTCCAGCATCGTAATAGCCACCGACCAGATCCTTAATCACACTCGAGGTAGCGCCAGTTTTGCCATCTTGAAGACATGAGTTACCTCTCCACGAAACATTGTTATGCCGAGGTAGTTTTCCTGATTTTTGGGCATTGAAGAAAAGGAGGGCCTTGTGGAGGGCGAGAGTGTAGTTATCGGGTGGGCCCTGTTTGTGGTGGTGGCGGGGTACGGTTTTGACGATGAGCGTGATGAGACCAGCTAATAAGGCACAGGCGACGAGGGTGCCGACGGTCCAGAGAAAGATTTTGCGGCTGACAATGATGCAGCCGAGATCTACGTATTTCTTCTTCTTCTTGTTCTTCTGCTCGCCGGCACCGAGGAGCCAGCTCTGCTGAGTCTCGTCGAGGGCAGCTCTGTCCAATTCCTGAAGATTGCGGCTCCGGTCATCGTCCGTCGCGGAATCGGTGGCATGGATCTCGAGCGGGCCACCCCACGGATCCCTACCGTACATACTCATCTTCAATCAATCTACTACTACTGGATCAATCAATAATCACACACACAAATCTTAAAAGTACCATTACTCTTTTTAATAGTCAGTCAGTTACAGCCTTGGTGGTGGTGTCGGTGGCTGTTGTTGGCGAGAAGTGACAACAAGTCAATAATTGAATCTCATGTGCCTTCTTCCCTATTTCTTTATTTGCTTTTTTCCTTTTTCTTATTGAATTTGAAGGAGCCAGCTCACAAGTGGACTGGACTGCGACAACTGACGTCTTATGTCTGTAGCCCAACCATACATCCTCCTTCTACAGCTCACGGTAATCGTGATTAGGATTATTTTATATTGGTATAAATTACATTCTTAAAATAATTGATTTTATTTATATTTAAAAAATTTAATTTATTAAATATTTGAGTTATTATATATAAATAAATCAATGATTAAGATTTCACATAAATTTTTTTATTTTTACACATAAAAATGTTTCTGCAGTTACTGCAGTCTGCAGATAAGCAGATAAGTTAACTGTACTTTTTTTTTGGTAAGCAAAGTTATCTATACTTACTTCCAAAACGACGTCGTTTTAGTATTGAAATATTAAAAAATTATAATTATAAAGACTATTATAATCTTGAAATAAATTAAATTATAAAAACACCTTATTTTTGTTCCTAAATGACATTATTTTGGACTAATACAAATAAGTTATCTGCATTTATTACAGAAAAAACGAACATAAAAATATCAAGCTCCTTTTTTAATAATCAACTCAATAATTATCTTACTCATTTCAATACGAAGAATTTTCGAAACAATTACCAAAACAATAAAATAAAAAAATGTTAAGCTGTCTTTTATGATAATTTAACACGCTTTTGTTTTATTATGTAGTCTTGTTTTATTTTTTAAATAAAAGATTCCATTAGTAATGTTTGGTGGGAATGTTAAAACGCGACAAAACACGACATATTAATTTTATTTTGGACTCAATGTATATATTTTTTAAAATTAAATAAAACAAGACATTAAGATAAAAAAATTAATCCGTTTTACTTATGCAAAAAAAAAAAAATGGTACCTTGGATCTAATGTCGAAACAATAACTAATTGATTAAATTGAAAGAAGAACGAACACAATAAGTGTACGAAAATACTATTTTTCTTTTGTAAATTTTATTAATAAAAACAACATAATAATAGGGTTTTTCAAATCTTAAAAAGACAAAATAAAATAGGGTTCACTTTTTTTACGGTCAATGTAAATAACTTAGTTAAATTGAGCCCAAAACATCGTCGTTTTGAGGTAAAAATTAAGATATTTTTGTAATTATAATTTATTTTAAAATTATAATAGCCATTTTCTTTATAATTTTTTAATTTTTTAACTCAAAACAACATTGTTTTAGAAGCAAATGTAGATAACTTATCTACGTTTGCTGTAGAAACATTACATCCAATAAAATAATGAAAAAATAAATAACTATAACTATACGCAATCAAAGGAGATAACACAACCAACGCATATTCAAACATAATCTAAAAAAAATAATAAAAAAATAATGACAATTATTAAAATATCCTAAACTATAAAATAAATTATAGAAAAACTCAATTTAAATCAGTCAGCTTCCCCCTTTTATATTGATGCAACCAACAGGTGATTGGAGGCATCTATTCCAAATTTCCAACTAGCGATCATGGAGTCATATTATGGTGTCATTATCTCTTAACACCAACTGAATGTATAATTGTATATGCATTGCTCCCCTGATCTAGTGTACAAGGGTCCGAGATTTCAACTGGGTTTGCCCTCGTTGTACAAAATAATCAGAAGGCGAGTAAAATGTAAAAAAGATCTTTTTTTTTTTGGTAAAGAATGTAAAAAAGATCTTACTATTGTTATCTTGAGTGATCCTAACCATATAATGAAAAAAAAAAAAAAAGATAACTAAAGATCGTGTAACATTCTTATTCCCTCATGAGTATTATTTGTGGAAAATCTTTCATTATAACTGTTATGCATTTAAGGTCACTATCTATCGTATTATTGTACATTAATAAGTCAATCAATCAAATAAACAAGTAATACATGGATCACATTTTTTATTTTTATTTTTGTAATAATGGAGCACATTTTTTGTGCTCAAGTCAAGGAGAGTAGGTACAATCTTTTCCAAAAGGAAAAAAAAATACGAGAAAAAACAATCATAAAAATAAAAATTGTATAAATGTAATTTTTTTTTCATATTTAATAAAAGATACATGAGTGTTGGATATATCTGTAATACGAAACTTATTTTCTGATATATCTGACCTAATATCTTGACACATGAGAAATGACAAATGGATACACTGGGGTGCAATTGGCAAATGACAAATGAGTCCTGATACTTGTATTGCCCATTACCCATCATTGCCTTATTGGGCCAACGGAAACCTCCAACCACAGCAGCCCATCTTTCCATTCCTGTTCGCCAAGTTCGTTTAATCCTGCCCGATAGGATTCTCCTCTTATTTCAAATTAAAAATAAAATAAAATTTATTTCCATCTAAATATAAAAAATAAAGTAATTAAATAGAAATAATATATATCAAATTTTTATTTGAAAATAACGCCACACACATCTAAAACTTTACTCAATTTATTTTGTGTTTTTAATATATTTAATTAAAGAAATTAAGTAACAATAATATATATCAAATTTTTATTTGAAAATAACGCCACACACATCTAAAACTTTACACAATTTTTACACGAAAAACATTATTCTTATGTGTAATATAAATAATGGCTTCGCTACTACAGATAAACTAATACGACGTCGTTTTGAGACGAAAATTATAGTGTTTTTTGTAGTTTTAATTTATTTTATAGGTATAATAATCTTTATATTTATATTTTTTTAAAATTTCAATATCAAAACGACATCGTTTTAAAAATAAATGCAGATAACTTCTCCAAAATATTTTTCCCATAAATGATATCTCTTTCATGCACCCGCATAAATGGTGGATCCCACCTAAACCTATCAGGACTGACATAAGAAAAGTGAACCCCTCTTGTAATTTTTTTGTTTTGTCTAGAGTTTTACCTAGAGTTGCCTACTGTTGAAAAGGACGTTTAGGCGAGTGAGTTCGTGCTTATCTGCTTTGAACTTGGAAGTATCAGCTGAGCATAGACATTGAGCGATGGTATGTAACTTTGATGCCTCCTCCATTTTGATTTGGTGTGTTTGATGATTATTGATTACTGATTATGGTTGTTTGATTTGAATAGGCTGAAGAAAAACAAGATAATAAGCTGAAGCTGTATTCATATTGGAGGAGCTCAAGTTCCTTCCGAGTCCGAATTGCTCTCAACCTCAAAGGTACTCTCTTATTCTCTTACTCACACAATCCACACTGTTTCTTTGTATGTATATCTCTGACTCTCTCACCTTTTTATTCACTATTCAGGGCTCCAATATGAGTACAAAGCGGTCAATCTGTTGAAGGGAGAACAATCTCACCCCGGTTCGGTTTGTTAATTCTTGCCTTAACCATTCCAACTTGTAAATTACAAACTAATGGATTTAATTCCTTTTCACATGTTCAGAATTTCTCGAGCTCAATCCTGTTGGTTTTGTTCCCGTTCTAGTGGATGGCCATGCTGTAATTTTCGACTCTCTCGCCATTATTATGGTCAGTCCTTTATTTCCATTTTCCAGATCTTAAATGCTTTCCATATTTCTTTTCAAATCTGTATATCTTCATTTGCATTTTTTTCTATGCATATGTATGCAGTATTTGGAGGATAAGTATCCTCAACAGCCTTTGCTCCCTTCTGATATTCATAAAAGAGCAATCAATTTCCAGGTACAACTCCATTCTCTTTCGCCAAAAAATAAAACTAATTAGCCCATACATATGTATTACTATCATGCTTGCCTGTCCAATGTTAAAGGGATGTCAATCATATCATATTCGCATTCAAATGAGAATTTTAAGTCTCATATTGTTGATGTTTCCCGTTCTCTTTCCCTCATTGTAAGCTGCATTATAAGAGTGGGGATGGGGAGTTTCAAAGCTATGTTTCTGGCCCTGTCACATGGATTCTCTTCTAATGATTTGATCCACAGGTTGCCAGTATTGTTTCCTCAACAATACATCCTCTTCATAACTTAAGTGTTCTGGTATGTATGCCACTTCTTCTTTTTTCCAAAATTATTGTTAGTTTATATATCTATTTTTTAATGAAGCAACCATTTCTGGATACTAGAGTGCATAAGATATGCTATTGTTATTTTGCTTTTCTGTTTCCAGAATTACATCGGGGAAAAAGTTGGCCCTGATGAAAAACTTCCTTGGGCCCAAAGTATAATTAGAAGAGGCTTCACAGGTGAGGTTTGACTAACTTGCTCACCCAGCACTTTAGAGAGGAAAAAAAAAAAGTAGCAAAAGAGAAAGTTCCGTAGTTAAGGGTCATGCATTTGTTCAAAGTTAAATTTTTTACTGTGATATACTAGCTTATTACCCATGATAACAGATCATTCATAGAAATAATGGGTCTGTTTGATTGTGTTCTGGTTTTTTTGTTTTTAAAACTGTTTTGTAAAACAGTTATGGAAATAGTTGTTTTCTATATTTTTTTCTTTTTGAAAGTTAAAAACAAAAATAGAAAATAAAAACAACTCAGACATGTTTTCTAAATTTGATTTTAAAAACAAAAAAACAGTTATAGTTTTCAAAACATTTTTTACAAAACAGATGTTGCCAAACGAGTTTTTTAGTTTTTTTGTTCTGAAAACTAAAAAACTGTTTTCCAAAATAGAAATCAAACAGAGCCAATGTTTACTCTCTCATTCTTGGTTCTATTGACCCAATTCGTCCTAAAGTGAAGAGCCAAACATGTATCCAAATGACCCGGAAAGGAGATGACCCCCAGCAATTAAAATTTTCTTCCTATACTGTGTATCCCTATTGGTGTTTTCTGCAATATTGAAAGTTTTTTTTCTTCTTTTTTTTACCTTCTTCTAAATGGAGCACATACAGAACTTGACAATCATATTGATAGTATGAATTTGAAAATAATTGTTGAACACTAGTTGAACACTACATCTCTTGATAAACATTTTGACTTAAAGAGGAATATATGACATGGACAAAAAATAAATGAGGAATGTATGATGATAACCAATTTCAGTCCCGTGTTCCAAATTATCCCTTACTTGGTAGTTCATGAGACTATTATTAACCAGCTGTATTGCTGATAATTGATATCTATCACAATCAGAGCTCAACTGTCTTGAGATGAGTGTTTCATTAAGTTTTGAGAATTAACTGTTCATAAAAAAGACTGAATTCAGCCAAAGAATATGAAGTGGACCTTTTGATTGGTAAAAGGTAAAGCTAATTGCCCATGTGGAAAGAACATTTGTTATCTTGAGCAGTCAGGTCTCAAGTCTTGACTAGTATCTTGTGTTGGAGGTTATGGGTTTGAGAGAGAAGGGTTTTGAGGTGCTTGAAGTATTACACCAAGAGGCATCAAGTTTGGAATGCTCAACAGTGTTACCTCCAGCTTAGGAAACCCTAGAGATAATGCAAGCTATTGGGCTCCAGCCCATATGGACCCAAATAACCATGATTTCACCTATTGAGTTTGTATGTGAACATACTATTGGACTGTATTATTAATATATCCAACATCTTGTAATAGACTTGCATGTCCTGTTAATAATAATAAAACAAAAATCACTTCCCACGAAATCCCGACTTGCTAGGGCAGGGGTGAAAGAAATTCTTATACACAATCTTATCTTTGCATTTTTGTAAAGGGGCGGTTCCTAGATTGCATGTTTTGTTAATGATTGAAGAAAATATTCATTGTGTTTTTTTTTTCCTTATGTTATGTCTTTCCTTACCAAATAAAGATTTCAGTGTGTTTTTGACTTAATCAAATGCTATTTACAATTACATGTGTTTCAGCACTTGAAAAGCTATTGAAAGACCACACAGGAAGATATGCAACTGGAGATGAAGTTTTCCTGGTATGTTGCTGATTATTCGAGTTCAATGATTTGAAAATTAAAAAAAGGAACGGATGACTCTTTCTCAATGGTCCAGTAGCCTAAAATTTTTGGCTAGTAATATCAAAGATTCCTATGTCTGACGGGATATAATGTAATAAATATATTTATGCTCTGATATTTTAAAGTACAATTTAAAATTTAAATCGATTTAACTCCAAAGTTAATGATCACAAGTTTTTGAAAATTAAAAGGATTAGCTATTGAAACAAGCACTAGGTTTGTATTCTTTTTGGAATATATTTATCAGCTTAATGTTGCACATTAGTTATTTATAATCTAACACATTGATTATCATTTGCAGGCGGATTTGTTTTTAGCATCTCAGTTATATGCCGCATTTAAGAGATTCAACATTCAAATGGTAGTATTCTGTCTAGGGTCCCATGTGTATATTTTATTTGGGGGAATAAAGGATGGTAATAAAACGTGTGCTTGCTATGATACCATTACTATAGCCTCTTTGATTAAAGATGTGATTTTCATATATCCCTTATTATAATTAAAATTTAATGCACGACACTTTCAGCCTTGTGTTTTGTCCACCCTCCAAAACAATATAGGCTATCGCCTACATGCCTTTGGCAGTTGCCTATCAGCTTTAGCTTTTAGTTGATTTATATTTTAATGATTAAGTACCAAGCCTTATTTAGTATCCTTTAAATCAAGCTAATAATATGAATGTGTAAGATGCAGAGTTAATCGTAGTTCTAGTTCAGATCTGTTTGATAGTAGGATTTCAAAGAAGTGCATGACTTTCTGTCTTGTACTATTTGTTGACTGTTTATAAGTTTGTAAAGTGCTTGTAATGGATGTTGTTGGGATATTCAAGTGTGATGAATTTCACATTGGCATGAGTTAAGTGAACTGTATATAAGTGGGGGGATCTATGAATCCAATGCCTTAAGATTTTAGGTTAAGATGTGGCGTCGGATCCACTTGCTACAGTTGGTGTAGCGTAGCCCATTGATGGTGGTGTCCTCCGCCACGGGCTTCCTCTAGATCCGCCTGACAGTGGTATCAGAACCGAGTTGGGCTCGGGCTAGCCTGGGGATTGACTAGAGTATTTGGGACTGGGTACTTGGTTGAGGGAGAACGTACCAATGTTGGGTTTTACACTTAATGTGGAGATTATTGGATGGTAATGGGCTGTATATCAATAGGGGGACTGTGAACCTAATGCTTTAAGGTTTTAGGTTGAGATGTGACGTCGACCCATTTGCTATAGTTGTTAGCCCATTGATGGTGGTGTCCCCCGTCACGGGCTCCCCGTGGACCCTCCTGACAAATGTTTATAAAACAAAACTGACAATTGGATTAGAAGGAGGATGGAGTTAATGATAGGGAGTTCAATTTGGATAGAACGAGTCAACGTACAAGTCTATTTTATAGTTTGCAAAATCTTTGATTGTATATTAAATTGAATTGCACAAATTCATCAAATGAGAACTTACTTTTCCCCTTATTTCCCAAGCAGAATGAGTTCCCTATTCTATCAAGATTACATGAGACTTATTATGAGATCCCGGCATTCCGGGAAGCTTTACCAGATAACCAGCCAGATGCAGTACATTAGTTGAACCGATAATTTGGTACTGGTAAGTGATCTCTAAAGCATTTCGGATATTTTGTAGAGCAGTTATATATTATTTAGTTTTTCGAATGTGTCAATGTTCTACATTATACCACTTTTTATTGGCTTTTGTTATCTTGGGCACAGTTTTTAATTTTCAATGCTTGATTTTAATTGATTGATCACAGAAATGTGACCTGATATTAAGTTGGAGAAATTGCAGGAGGAGGAGCTACCGGTTGGGCATCAGGCTGAATTTGTAAAAACGATGTAAGATACTTAATCTAGCAATAAGGTTGCCTTGTACAATATTTATTGCACTTGGCATCGTGGACAGTGGATAAATTAGTGATTTGCGTTGTAATTCCTTATGTTTGGTTTCCATCTCATATTCCCGATCAACGTAGCTTGATGGATGGTTCTTTTAATGGTCATGTTCCTACATTTAATATTTAAAGTAAACAAGTTGCCTTATTACTCCGTACCACAACCAAATCAGCAAGAGCGGAGTGTATAAAAATGGCGAACGATATTTGCACACTAGAAGCGCAGTATATAAACCATAACGGAGTTTTTTTAAATGTGCTATCAAAAGGTTGAAGAACCCGATCAAGTTTAAATACAATCATATAAGTCGGGTGTTCAAGATTTATGAACATGGAGGAGAGAAATTCAAACTCATCTGAACAAAATGGTTACCTTGTGTTCATTCAAAGATTTTAATGCATGTATTTTTTTATTTTTTTTATCTTCCTATTTTATTGGTTTATGGTGTGTTTGAGATTTGGGAGGAGGGCAAATCAAAAGACAATGAGGATTAAATAATAAGTTTTTTCTTTGGATGTTAAGATACTTTAGATCTTGTTGTAAGTTGTGTTGATCGGATAGTCTCTTATTTTTTTGGATACATTGGATCGTCTCTGAAGATGTGACTGATGAAGAATTTCAAATACCAGAATGCATATATACGCTTATAAAATCTATTATCAAATAGAAAAAATAGAATGAATCGTGCATGCAAGTTATTCTATTTTGTTTTTAATTATTCCAAGTGGTAGAGATATCGAAAAGGAAATGTATAATCTTAAATTTCTTCCGTCATCGGTAAGGAGATTTGAACTCAATTATTGGAAGGGATTGCAAATGAAATGTCAGTTTGAAAATTCAACTAAACGTTAAAAAATAAAAAAATTTAAAATTAAAACGAAATGCCAAAATATTGACTTGTCAACAGTTAGGTTGCAAAACATGGGATTAGTTTATTTAGGTGTGGTAATACCAACAGCAGAAAATGTATAATTTGCATCTCGAAGGAGGGGTCGTTCAAAGTGTGATAATAATACAATACCATAGCAGCTGCAGAAAAGAAAAACCAAGCTAACAAACATGGTATGTTATGGTTTGGCACCAACAAATTTCAATTTTTCTTTGCTGTGTGCTGCTGAGTGGTCATTGCTAATGCTTATTTCTTGCCCTTTGTTTCATTAGTCAACGGGTCAACCTGAAAATAAGCTGAAGCTCTATTCACACTGGATGAGCTCGTGTTCTTTTCGAGTCCGAATTGCTCTCAACCTCAAAGGCAATCTCTTATTCTATTGAAATGTAACAAATGTTCGTTTCTACCTCTTTTGCTTAAAACCTATGTCTCACCTTCGTATTTTGATTGTATTCAGGGCTAAAATATGACTACGAAACGGTCAATCTCTCGATAATTTCTAATCCTGGTTTGTTTTTTCTGTTTGACCATTCTTACGTTGTATCATGATTGCAAAATTGTAAAAACTATATACAATACAAGTGGTTTGAGTATACTAATTTGTGATTTTTCAATTCCTTCTTTGTGACCTTGCTCTTGTGGCTTTGACATATGTTCAGAGTTTCTGAAGCTCAATCCTGTTGGGTATGTTCCCGTTCTGGCGGATGGCGATGTAGTGATTGTTGACTCTTTTGCCATTATTATGGTGATTCCCTGATTTCTTTTACTTCCTTTCCCCATTTTTCTCTTCAGATGTCTTCATTTTCTTGTTTTCTACACTTACATGCAGTATTTGGAGGATAAGTATCCTCACAATCCATTGCTGCCTCTTGACATTCATAAAAGAGCAATCAATTTCCAGGTACAGCTGCAATTGTTTCAACTTGCAAAGCTTATATTTCAGAACTTTAACAAATGGCTTCTCTTCTTATGATGTAATCAACATTCTTCCCCAGGTTGCCAACATTGTTTCCTCAGCTATACAGCCTTTTCAAAACCGAACTGTAGTGGTATGTTTAAGTAAATTTTCTTAAATAAGAAAAAGTATGTAGATGTTACATTATTGTTCATATATTTCTGTTGTGAAATAACTTTTTTTGAGAATGCTGGAGTGTATGTCATACGTTTATTGTTATTTTCCTTTCCTTCCCTATTTGCAGAAGTACATTGGGGAAAAAGTTGGCTCTGATGAAAAACTTCAATGGACCCAAAGCGCTATTGGAAAAGGCTTCAAGGGTGAGGTTTGATTAAATTGCTCACCCATCATTTTAGAGAGGAAAAAAAAGCGTGATTGGAAAAGGTTTCAGGGGTGAGGTTTGACTAGGTTGCTCACCCACTTTAGAGAGGGGAAAAAAAAGTGTGATTGGAAAAGGCTTTCATGGGTGAGGTTTGACTAGGTTGCCCACTCAGCACCATAGGCGGAAAAAAAAGTAGCAAGATAATGTTCAGTGGTTAAGGATTATGCACTTATTTGAAGTTAGACGATTTATTTTGATATACTAGCTTAGTGCCAATGATGGCAGAATATTCAACAACGTAGGTTCTTTGTTCCGTAGATCCCATTTGTGCAAAAGTGATGAATCGAATGTTGTATCTAAATAACCTGGAAAGAAGACAATCCCATTAATTAGAATTTTCTTACTATACTTTGTATCCTAATGCTGCTTTCTGTAATATTGGAAGTTATTATTTTAAACGGAACGCACACAGAATTGACTATCATAACGATGGTATGAATAGTTAGCAGAGAACAGAGCAATTGAGGCTCTACTACTGGAACACTCCATCTCATGACACACATTTAGACTTAAAGAGCGACATTTGACAATAACCAATTTCTATCCTGTATTGCAAATTGCCTAAGTTGCTAGCTCACGACACGATCATTAGTTTATTGCTGATAGTTGATATCTATCATCGTCAGGACCTCAACTGTTTTGAGATGAATGATTCATTATGTTTTGAGAATTTACTGCTCATAACAAGACATCCCTGCAAACCTGATCTGAACCAAAGAAAACCTTTTGATTGATGAAAAGCTAAGCAACCAGGGCTATTAGGCTAATAGCCCTGGTGGAAAGAACGTCAGCATTCAGGTTTTGTCAGTTTGAAGAAGTTCTTCGCTGTGATAGTTAATTCCCACCCTTTTAACAATGAGATATATTTGTCTATTCTATATAGGTGCCTTGGGCCAGCCCTGGTGCCCAATCTACCATCCCACTACAGAATAAAACATCATTTTCACTCAATATTCCCTTGATTCCCTCACATGATCATATACCCATCATGAGCATTATGTCTCTTGTACACCTAGTGTGGGATCCACAGGCAATAATGGTGCTGGTGCTGAAAGCACTCGCCTTTTCAATATTCCTCAACTGACTATACAATACACGCTCACACGAAAGGTTGACTTTTTGCCTTCACTACTGAATTCTCTCGTGCACCTTTCCCTCCCTGCACTCATTCGCTAGAACCTTGCCTTAAACACACACTTCTGTCTACTCCTCCGTACTCTGGTGGTCTACTTCTGTTGAGAACCTCAGCCGACTTACTTGAGACCTGATTCTTTATGCCAGTGACTCTAACTCGGTCCATACAGTAAACCATTATCTTCCCACCTTGGGTCGAATATCGACTTAACTTTCCATTCTAGTACACTGTCTATGTTCTTACTATATTTGGAGTACTGAGTTCATTTAGTTTGTCCACGAATGAAATTTCAATTTTAAGAGGGTTTTAGGATTAATTAAATATTGAAATGCTATTTTACATGTGTTTCAGCACTTGAAAAGCTATTAAAAGACCATGCAAGAAGATATGCAACTGGAGATGAAGTTTTCCTGGTATGTTGCAAATCCATGGAGTCTAATAGGAACAGATAACTCCTTTTCCAGGGCCCAATAGCCTAAAAATCTTGGCTAGCAATGTGAAACATTATTATGCCTGTCAACAGGCTATAATGTAATATATGTACTTGTGCTCTGATCTTTTGGAGTACAATTCGAATGAACGCAGTTCAACTCCAAAGTCAAAGATCATATATTTCTGAAAATTGCTACAGCTAGCTATAGTAACAAACACTAGCTTAGTATCTTTGTTGGAGAATACTTTTCAGCTGCATGTTGCACTTAATAGCTATTTATAACCTAACACTGTGATTATCATATGCAGGCAGATTTGTTTTTGGCGCCTCAGTTACATGCAGCATATATGATATACAACATTGACATGGTATTATTCTGTCTTATTCTGTCCATGGTCCCATGTCTATCATTTGGGTGGGGAATAAAGGAGGGTAATAAAATGTTTTGAGTTGTATTGCTTTGGTACCGTTACTATAGCCTCTTTGATCAAGGATGTGATCTTCGTTGTCTTCCTTCTAATAATTGAAATTTTTAAGGGAAGGCAGTTTCGGCCTTGTGTTTAATAAAGCCATAGAGGGGTTTTTGAACTTTTTCTCTTTTAAAAATTGTTCATATAGACTAGCTTCCCATTATTATTATAAATAATGTGATCTGTGTCATATATTGAATTGTTTAATAAATTCATGAGATCACAACTTCCTTTTCCCTTTATTTTCTAAACAGAAGGAATTCCCTATTCTATCAAGATTACATGAGACATATAATGAGATTCCGGCATTTCGGGAGGCTGTGCCAGAGAATCAGCCAGATGCAGTACACTAGTCTAACCAATAATTTGGGAGTGGTAAGTGATCTCTACACAACAGCACCTGAGGCAATTTTTGAAAGCCAATATTTTTTATTTTACTAGTTCTGTTAATTTGCTGAAGTCAGTATTCTACAGTATATTAATTATAATTGGCTTTTAAGCACCATTTTTTTAATTTTCAATGGTTGATTTTAATTGATTGATCTTTGATCACAGAAATGTGACCTAATATTAAGTTGGAGTTATTGAAGCAGCAGCAGCAACTGATTCATCATCATATTAAATCTTTAAAAAAGATATGAGATACTTATTCTTGCAATAAGGTTGCTACGTGCAATATAACGGACAGCGCATAAATTAGTGATTTGGTTTGTAATGAAAAAGTATGACTAAAAGCCTTGTGTTTATTTTCTGTCTTATTCCTCGTCAGTATAGTTTGATGTTTGGTTCTTAATGGTCTCATGCTCCTACTACCTTTTTCTTTTCTTTGGGTGGGGGACCAGGGAGGATAATTTTCCTTAGAGCTTACACCCTCAAATCTACCTCCCATGGCTATGGAGACTCGGAGAGAACAAATGGAAAACTTTATTGAAAGGCAAAATCTTGGTGGTTCCTTTCTCCACTGGCGTCGCTCTAATCTTCTTGTCCATGCATATATCACAAGTGAGTCTTTAACAGGGGTTGATTGAGTTTCTTTTTTATCTAAAGATTTAAAATTGGACCGAACCAATGACTCAACGAAATAAGCAGGTTTGGTTAATAACATTAAAATAAAAAAGATTTGATTTGGTTTAAATTGGCTCAACTTGATGTGAGTTAGCTTTATTGTAGGAGCCTATCAGTAAACCTGAAAACTTCATAATTAATTTCTATTATTATGTTTTTTTTTTAATTTACTTAAATATTATTTTAATACAAATATTCACCTATTTTAAGTTGCAATTAACTTTAAATCTTTTAATATAAGTTAATTAAATAATATTTTTATATTTTATAAATAAAGAAATGAAATGCCCAATAGAGCTATCTGACTAACTTATAATCTGCCTATAGCTGAAGTGGACCAATAATTTCTCTATCCATATTATACATAGGCATACAATTGGCTCAGTATATAGCAAAATTCACACCCCTATGTTTTTCGATCCTTATTTGTCATACTTTTTGGTCGAAGATCTCTTTGTCAGGATCGAAAATCAATCAAATTCCTTTTGTAATTTTAGTAAATAACCCTCACTCACTGTACGCTATCGTCAATGCTTTAATTCCACAACGGCAAAATTGATTGGTAGGATTCGTAGGAACACACGGCACAAGCACATTTTCTGCGTAACCTGTGTTGTGTTGTGTTGTGGCTAAGTGCATTATAAAGAAACGTTGAGCGGAGCACAACAGAACCAAACCCAGAAAGCATGCACATACATGAGTAATAAGCCCATGCCACTGCTTATAAAGAAGAGGGGTTACTGTGAATTCCCACTACATTAGTTTCAATTTTGATCATCATTGCACTTTTTGCTGTCTTCACTAACTAATTCTCCCCAAAAGTTTAAGTTGTTTTATCACCGGGAAGATATATGAATTGTTTTATTATATTTGTTAAAAAAATTCTTATTTTTTTATTCAAAGTGTAGATAATGCGCATGTCTTTTTTTTGTTTCTTTTTTAGTTTATAAATTAAAAAAGGAATGAGGATAGCAAACATCAAACTCTAAGGCTCTGTTTGAATACTGTTCTGCAAAACAGTTTTTTAGTTTTCAGAACAAAAAAACTCATTTGGTAAGACCTGTTTTGTAAAAAATGTTTTGAAAACTATAACTGTTTTTTTGTTTTTAAAATCAAATTTAGAAAACATGTCTGAATTGTTTTTGTTTTTAACTTTCAAAAAGAAAAAAATATAAAAAACAATTGTTTCTGTAACTATTTTACAAAACAGTTTTAAGAACAAAAAAATCAGAACACAATCAAACAGGCCCTAAATCACTTAGTCATAGTTAAACAAATTTTTTTACCATTAATCTTTATAAAACAACCTCTTTTAAGTTTAAATTGTTAGGTGAAATGATTATTTACGTAATATTAAAGTCGTCCACATGACTAAGTGGTCATGAGTTCGATCCTCGTTATCCTCTACATTTTAGTGGAATTAGTTCAGCTCAAACTAGAATAAAAAAGAATGAATTTGTGTAATATCCACACTTCAAACTTAAAAAGCTCTAATGAGAGTGATATGTTAGAGAGAGATATTATAAAACGATTAAAGGCTCATCACTTATAAATTTAAATTTTTGGGTTAAATTGATTTTTTATATGATATCAAAGTTGACATGGCTAAGTAGTCATGAGTTTGATTATTACTATTCATATTTTATTAATAAAAATAAATAAATATTATGAAATTTATTAATTAAATATTATAAAATTTATTAGGACAGATAAGCTATACCTAATAAAATAGATAAGTTAAGAGCGAGGGGGCATCTATCATCATAAAATTAGGGGCAACCATTAAGAATGGAGTTAAGTGCAAACAAAAATTGATAGTTAAAGAACAATAAGAACGACAATAATGAAGGTGATTATGAATCACCTAAAAAAATATTGATATTATAATGATAAGAATTGTACATCCCAAATGGGATTATGGGAGACAGTTTGGAGCAGATTATATATATATATATATATATATATATATAGAGAGGATCCTTTTGACACCGGTGTCAAAAAAAAAGTTTGACACCTCATCTGAGAGCCGTTAGATTAAAAAAAAATCAACGATTCTGATTTGTAAGCATGTGACACCATTGATTTTTTTTAATCTAACGGCTCTTAGATGAGGTGTCAAACTTTTCCTTTGACACCGGTGTCAAAGGATCCTGCCTCATATATATATATATATATATATATATATATATATATGAAAAAATATTTTTCCGACAACTTGAGATAAGTTTATCTCCGGCTACCCTAAAACTACGTCGTTTTGTTTATTTATTTCCTTATATTAATTGATTCATCTTTGAATGATTATGATTCTTTTTTTTCTCTCTCTTCCTTCATTATCATTGATCCATCTTTGTACGGTTATGATTTATTAGCCGGAGATAAAATTATCTCCGGCAGCTTGAGAAATGATAAGCTCGTATATATATATATCAAATTTGATTAAGGGAACAAGTTCTTTATCTCTTGAACCAATAATTATTGTTTACATTATACAAGAAAATTTTATATCTAAAATGTTCTTACTGTGTAACATTGTTAATTGTATCAGAAATATTTGTGCAAATATATAAAGATAAATTGTATTGGTAACCTGATGGTTGACTCAAGTGGCAACATGAGCCAATGACAAATAAATCACCAAAAAGAATAGAGGTTTGAATTCGGACCTTTGAAATCAGAGTTAAATAATTGTCATATCATCTCATATTTCTACGAACTTTTTTTCCACTCAAGTTGTGAGATACCAAAGAAACTTGACTCAAAGAATTAATTAGGGTAATAAAAAACATAAGAAAATAATAATTGTATTGGTTTATTTTGTTTCTAGTATAGTTTGTACCATATTTTTTAAGATATGTATTATTTTACCAAAATTTCTCTATATTACTTTTGTATTATTTGTGTAAAAGTTATTTTTTCATTGTAATTTTTTGGATATGAGCTCTTATCATTAAATTAAAGCTATGCGTATCAGCAAGGGTATAATTTTATTTTTTTATTTTTTTTAAATTTCTCAAAATCATATTAAGCAATAAGGAATTGCATTATTAGCTGGAATGCTAAGCACACAAATTTTAAGAGAAACTCTGAACAGTGGAATCCAAATTTAACCCAATTGGTGAAATTAGAAAGTAAGATGCTGTCTTCTATTAAAATAGTTCCTTCCTGTTGTCCTTGAAATTAGTACTATGGGTATAGAATATCGAGTCATTAATCATATAGAGTAATCTAATTACCTAGTTTTATAACCATCTTGGCAGAAATTGCTAAATAGGGCATGTCTATTTCTGAGATTCCTTTATGCTCAGTTTAATATTGCACTTTATACATAGCTTTGACATTTTGTTTTTTTTTTCGAAATTTCTGTGACAAAGATTAGCCTTTGTCCGTTTTAGCGTTTGATACCATGAAAAGTGAAAATCAGAGCCCAAAGGCATCTTGCTTGCTGCGTTGTAATACGTATAACTACAAACTCAATTAAGTCACTATATTGCAATACTGAAATTGGCTCAATTGATTCTATTTTATGTATAATATAGTAAGTAAATATAAATGATGGGCGTAAATACTATACTAGGTTACACTCCCCGTCCTTCCAACTTTACAAAGTGATCATTTTTCACCTTCACTTGGACATGCTTGAGCTAATTTCCTAAGGTTTTCAATGATCATAACCAGTTTCGTGTTAAATCGATTGACAAAGCACTTGGGCAGCCATCCTGCAGGATCCAACTGAAAGAAAACAAAGCCACGAGGAAAAGTCAGCCAAGATCCCCATCTTGTACATATTGAGGAACGAAGAATGCAAAGAAAATTTTTATTGTATGAATATTAATTACCTGAACAACATAAGTGACTACACATGAATTATCTTCAAGCTTCTCTACAACCCATCCTGACTGTAGCAACAGTCCTCTGATTGCATTACTTTGCTTCGGATGTAACCCTGCAGCTATTTCCTTTGGTAGTGAAGCAACTGCTACCACCTACAAACCCATTTAACATTTTGCTCAATCATTTGAAACACAAAAGGTTCTGTTATTGAAACTATATCAGTTACTCACAATAATAAGTTCTGAGTAATTAAAGCAACCTAAGATATGCTTTATGATTAGCAGCATTTAAGTACTACTACTAACCAAGGTTCCATCTTCCATGGTTTCACGCCGTTCATAAACAATAAATTCTCTATTCCTGAAGAGAGGCTTTGAGTTATCTCCAAACCTAAGACGAATTATGCTGAGGTTGTCTTCAAGATCTTTTATGTACCTGGCTTCCACCAGATCAGAGTCCCATTGCTGCATTATTAAAATAAATGAAAAGCTAAGGTCAGATTGTACCTATAGTTCTGTTCTGTAGTTTCAAAATTTAATTCCTTAAGCAATTTCAACACATGACAAGGAACAAGCTAATCACAAACATGTAATGAATAAAAGAAGAAAGTAAAAGACAAGATAGCGTGCAATTTTTTGTCATTCCTATGGATGTCAGCCACAAACTAAGAATAAATATAGGATTAAGGACAATGCTAGAGACAAAAGTTTTCTTTTCTTTTCTGTTTATTCAGCTCCATGCATTCATTACATGAGAAAATTGATATTCACCTTTGCAGCATCAATGGCATTGGCCACAGTGATGAATTGTTGGGGAGAGACAGATCTAAGCACCCAACGGCTTCGAAAGGTGTGAAGTGAGCCTGACCTGCGTTTCGATATCTCTACTCCATTGTCAAGCGTAAGCACCTTCCATCCATCATTGCCATTTCCTCTGTTTGTGTCCGAAGCTGCCAATAACTCTTGTATGCAGCTTTCGCTTGCAAACTGCACATACCTTCTGAGGGAGTCCTCACTAATAGACCTTTAGAAAATCATGACGAGAGAGAGTTCAGTTCAAGAAATATGAAAATTCACAATAACGATGAACATAATATATTCTCTTGAGCAATCAAAATGTTTAGGTTTGGTATTCACCAGGATCGGCTGCAAGGTGCAGGACTGCTACTCATCTTATCTTGTGTCAATTGCCTGTAGGTGTTACTTTATGTTATGATATTAACACACATAGAAAAACGAAAGGGCATATATATAAGATTATATTTACAAATTTTTTTATTTACAAACTACACTGTGTCTGACCAGTCATACACTAATCAAGAGTGTATAACCGGTCATACTTAGTACAATTTGTAAACGAATCCTTCTTCGTATATATATATATATATAAAAGAGTTAAGAGGGAGGGTCGTGTGATGAGTGGTTTAAAGAGAGGCTGAGAAGTGCAAAATAATACTCCGTAGTGGGCAGAGGTGATTGCTGCACATGCAGTGCCAGAAGAACCTTACATGATTAGAACAATAAGCCTCTCTCTAGATAAAAAGAGAGATTCTTTTCTCCTAAAAAAGCAGCCAGAACAAGGGTAAGAAATATGATGCACATGGAGTGTTGGTGGCGCACTTTTGGGATTGGAGGAAAATAAATAAATAGATGTAATAGACACACGGGATAATATATAAGATTAGAGAAAAGCTAAGCTAGGAATTTCAATTACCATGCATAGTTTAACTTAATTGGAATTAATTTATGAGCAAAAGAACATATCCTTAGTTGATTAATTATTTGAAATGTAAACTGTAAGGGTTATATGATTCTTGCGAATAAAATTATATTCTTTTATTGATTATTCTCTGGAAAGGACAATCCCTACCACTTTCCAATGTAAGGACCCAGTCACGTGCCATGATAGAGCTGGACTGCATTCCAAACAGCAAGGCACGCAGAATCGGTCCCAATGAAGTCTTTGGCACGGTATTTAGAATTGTCCTTACCGTAACGTTCGGTGTAGTACCAACCACTAACTTCCCATTCCATTTCAGCTAAATACTTTTTTGTTTATTATATTATATTATATATGTTCTGAGATGTAACCAGACTTGTGTTGAATTCCACATGCTTGTAGTATGTGGAGTGCTTAAAGACGAAAGTGGGCATGGCCATTGGGTGCTCCTTCTTCATAAAATTAACAAAGTAACAGCAATGTTACGCCATGACAAAGTGATATATATACATATGTATAATGTAAATGACTTTAAAGCAAGAAATTGAACAAAGTAGCTAAATAGTATAGTTACAATATTCATTATTACTTCCACCTTATCAAAGATAAAACAAATAAATAAAGCAATGATTATTTCACACCGAAGAGAAAAACTAGTTGAATTCGCTGCAGGATGCTCTTAGCGATAAGGCTCCTCTCGTTGCTTCTGGCACAGCATTTTCAGCTGGTGCGAAGACAAGGCTCAAATCTTTTAGCCTCCGTGCATGCTGCATTTTTACATGGTGTTAAGCCAGGTTGAGTTTGTTAAGCCAGCAAGCATGCATGTAGTTCTTGTTTAAGAGAACAAGCATACTTTGTTTTCTGTCTCTTTTCCTTTTCTTCTTTATTTTTTGTGAGGTCTTCTTTAGAATCCACATCAGCCATGAGTTCTCCGTTCATGAACCTAAAAAACTAGCATACTATATGACAATTTGGTAGACCAAGAGTACAAGAAAAGAATTAAAATTGAAAAGAAATTTGGGTAATATTTGAAAACAGCAAATTCAAAATTGAAAATGGTATACAATGCCAATAATGAGTTCCAACTTGCTTAATTAGATAATTTTTCTCTTTTTGTATAAATCTAGATATCCAGGTTGTCCTGTTTCCAAGATGGCATACATTGCCAACTGATCCCACACTAAATTGCCAAGAAAATTTTAAAAAACATTTATGATAAAGCAGATCATCGGACTGCTTTTCTCCAAACCAATCATTACCCATATATCCAACAGAAAAAGAAGCTAAAAAGCGGAAGGGGGAAAGAATTATGAATATGAAGCTTACAAATTAAATATTCCTAATAGGATGTGTCTAACGACAACACTCATTTGGAATTAAGATGATCCACTTAAAGACAATGCCCACGGGAAAAATAATACAAAGAAGATTTTTTCCCCCATAAAGATATAATACAAAATCATTGACATAGTTTTCACTTAACCATTTAAGTTTTTGAATTAAAATGATTCTAGTGTTATAGTTTATTTTCACCTCCCATATTTTATTATTAAATGATTAAATATTATAAAAAAAAATGTCTGTGCATTGTCCACTTTTTAGTTCTAATTTTTGTTAACGATATGTTAAAAAGATATAATATAAAATTATTGATATATTGCTGAAATTAATGCACCCATGTTGCTCAATTTTGATCGGGCAACTCAGAGCAGACTTCTGAGCAAGACCCATGATCCCGTATAGGCAACAATAGTTTTGGATCATGTGAATTTGTTTAGATAATTTCTTTGGAGCTTTTTTAATTTATTCCATAATTTAAGGTATTTCAGTAATTGTTCGTTATTTTTTCTTTCCGCTATTTATTTGATTTTATTTTTTGTTTTATTTTATTCCACTTATTTAAAGTGTGAAGGGTTAATTTGGTTGTTTGTGTTGAATAAAAAAGAAAAATAATTTTCTCCTTTTTTTTTGTATATATTCTCCTTTTTATTCTTTCTGCATAGCTAATTGGATACTCCTTCCGTCATTAGAAATATTTCTTTACATTTTGCTTATCATGCTTCAAATCAAAAAAATGTTGCACAAATTTAAATAACTTGCTGAGGAAACAACGATCTTCAAAACATGACATTAGATTCATAATATTGTCATTTAGCCCACAAGTGAAGAAGAAAAGAAAGAACGGGCACCTGTTTCCCCCAATGGTCCGCCACATTTTCCCAATTAGTAAATTCTTTTAGAGGGTGTTTGGTAGCCGGTATTTTTCAGGATTTTCGGAAAAATAAATTTTTTTAAATTTTTAATTTTTGAATATTATCGTAAACTGAATGTTTTTATCATATTTCTGAAAATCGAGATTTCCGGATAAAAAAAAAATTTCACTTTTATCAACCGCCTCTTAAAGTAAATTTGTGCAAAGTACACAAGTAAGGGTACTTTATATATCAATATATAGATAATATCGTTTAATAAAAAAATTCCTAATCAACAAAGGGTAAGGTCAATTTTAAGGAGAAAAAAGAGGAGGTTCATGGATGATGTTCCCTTTCTTCACGCTAGTAAGCCTTCTCATAAAAATCAACGACCTACTGCATGGGGAGTTGACCCAAACGCTCCCTGACAAGAGGAACATGCCCATGATCAAGATTGATATCATAATCTTTGAATTCTGCCACCGCATCTACATTATTTATGTTACTTAGTTGAAGCTGATAGTTAAGTTCATATAACATATATAGCACCACAAAGAAAGTTCACTTACAAAAAAAATATATGTTTAAAAATCGATAATCACGTAAAATCGAAAAAATATAAAAAAGAAAAAAAAAGAGAGATTGATATAATGATGTATCCCGATTCACCCAATATAGTCTACATTCAACTTGTCTATATTATATTCAAGCCACTCGTTATAAATCATTCAGTTTACAATAAAAATATAAATAAGATTAGAAAATCCTAATAAGAGCTATTCATGGGCTCAAGTCCAAACTGCTAAAAAAAATATAATAAATAAGAGGTCCACAATAGTACTTAGCCTCTACGGGCCTAGAGTCATTGCTCCACGGACCTCCACCGACTCACCTGAGAGCAGGATCTCAGTTGTCTTTCTGCTGACCCCGACAATAAAGACCGTAATCACGTGGATACCAAGCATGAGTCATCATAAGATAACCTACCATATGCCTTAGGAACCTTTTAAGTTATTACCTCTACATGGCTATTTGATACTGATCCACATTCCACACACCAATAATGATGATCGAGTCCCACGAACTAAAAGGTGGAACTTGGCATAAAGACATGTTTGGACAGCCCTACAACCACAATGACAATGGGGCGGGAAACCACTACTGATAAACCAAAGGGAAACCAACTCTTATCCAGATGTGACCTGTGGGAAAGCCCATAACTAAATAAACCACAAAGCAAATGATAAATCATTTCAAAACAGAAAAAGAACTGTACACTTCCAAAAGTAGAAGAATTTAAAAAATGAATAATAATTTATTTTTAAAAAACTATGGATCTGTCTAGGGGTATTCAAAATATCCAAAAGAATCAAATCGATCCATAACCAAACTGCTCCACATTTTAAAAACCGGTTATTTTTAAAAATCAGATTCATATGAAACTGCATTTTATTTTATAAACTGGTTATTTACCAAACTATAAAAATAATTGGTTATCCATGGTTATCCATAACCAAACTATTTTACAATTAAAGAACAAATAAGTATTATCTTTTATCCTTAGCATTAAAATGTGAAAATTACATAAATATAAATCATTTTTTTTGTTGTAAATAAAAGGCCTAAGCCCAAACAAACAAAAGGGAAAACAAACAGAAAGAACACCTAAGGACAACAAACCACCTCACATGGTCTACAAACAAAAGCCAAATCTGCAAGCAACAAAAAATAAACACCAGGAGGAGGATCTCACCAAACTCTTTTATCAGGCTGCTCTTGATCATCAAGTAAAAAATTGGCCAACCAATCAGCAGCAGTATTGCCTTCTCGAAATGTATGACGAAAAGAAATTGTTCAATCTTTCTGAATCCAAATTCGTATGCGAGATATCAGATGACACTCATGGATTGCTATACCATTCATGGATAACAAAGTGATTACACTAGAAGAATCACTTTCAATCATCACATTGCGATAGCCTGAGCTCCAAGCCATCTCCAAACCCCTAAACACCCCCCATAATTCAGCTCTGAAAGCATTACAAATACCCAATCGATAAGCATAACCACCCAACCATCTCCCATTGGCATCACTCATCACACCACCACAAGCAGCAGATCCAGGATTACCACGAGCAACACCATCAGAATTGATTTTAATCATACTATAATCAGGAAACTGCCATGAAATATCCAAAACCATAGTTCTTTTTTGCACATATCGATTTGATTGAGTAGAGCAAGCATGCTGAATATCATCAACAAGATTTCTAATAAACCTTACTCTATCAATAACCGAAGGCATTGTAGAGCCATGACAAACTTCATTTCTCCACACCCAAAATTTCCAACAAGCTACAAAAAAGACGGACAACCAATTCAGCATAGTAGTATCTGTAGATTGCAAATTACAATTAAAATGAAGCCAAGAGTCAAGATCTCCAAGAAAAAAACTATCACCATGCTTAGGTGCCACCAGGCACACCCAAACTGAATAGACATGCGAGCAATCCCTTAAAGAATGGAGGACAGTCTCTTTCACAAATCCACAAATCGGACACAAACCATCACCATTGCCCCAAAGAGCAGTTCAAGCCTTAGTTAGAAGCCTCACATGCATAATCTTCCACATAAAAATTTTGACCCTTTGTGGGCCAAACCACTGCCACAGATAGGACCAATTATGCCTAGTATTACCAA